TTTTGTTTACACGATAAATACAAGGCAATGACAGATGATATTATAATCATTTTTGATACGTCTATCACAATGATCTATTTTGTTTACAGGATAAACACAAGGCAATGGCAGATGATATTATAATCATTTTTGATACGTCTATCACAATGATCTATTTGGTTTACAGGATAAATACAAGGCAATGGCAGATGATATTAATTATTATAATCATTTTTGATACATCTATCACAATGATCTATTTGGTTTACAGGATAAACCCCATGTAATTTGACACATCTGACAGAATCAAGTTGGCATCTGAAATTGGATTGACATTGGATTTAAACAAAAATAAGTATTTTCACCAAGTTCAGCACATTCACATTTATTTCTAATAAATTAAATATTTGTCACAAATGTGGCATAATCTAATAACCACTATGGTTTCCAAATTATAGAAAGGAAAGAGGGAGGGCAGAAACTTGTACTAATGGTATTTTAAAATGTCTGTAGCTTAGACCTTGAATTCCCCATAGTCTCTCTTGTAATTAATGTGACACACATAAATAAATAAACATGTAAAATTCCAGTATCAGATTCACAAAATATTACTCAAACATTTTTGGGGGGTAGATTTTTTGCATCTGGAATTTGCATGCTCCCATGTGACATCTAGAGATCCCCACTTTAACCAGAATCTGAAATATTTAATCTTGTAGATTCATTCCCGTTTTATCACTTGCACTCACATTATTATTATTTATCAATATATTGACATGTCAACTTAGCTGGAGTGCAATAAGTTGACCCAGTAGGCATCTCAAAATCACTGGGACCATCCTGGTGACTCTACTCACTAATTAAAATCTGCCAAAAGTCTGAGAAAACCATGAGAGTTTGGAGTCCAAGATGTGGATCCTCCTTAGAGCAAGGTAGATGCATAAGCCAAAGAACATGCATATCACCAGCATTTTGCACACAACAAATAAAATAATCAGAGTTGAATAGGGACTGTCAGGTTGCTGATTTTATTGGCACAGGAGGATGCTAATTTCCCAACTAGCGAATATCGGTAAAAGATAAAAATGAACTCAGCTGTTCAACCAGCATAACAAATTTGAACAAGCAGCCTCTTGGCTGAGATAGCTTTGCACATTTCAATTAAAGATATTATATTCCAGTCAAAAATATTACTTTTTACCAAAAATATTCATAAAAATTAGAGAATCGAAGATATCATCACAAACTGAACAAATCTGAAATATTCACCTGAGGTACCTATATGTATAATATCAAAGCAATCATACTTGCTGTTTTCAAAAAAAGTCAAGAAAATATCACTTTTTACCAAAAATATTCAGAAAAATTTAAAGATATCATCATGAAATAAACCCATACATTTTGTATACATCAAATACAAAGCAATCAGAGTTTTAGTTTTCGAGAAGAAGTCGAAAAAGTAAAAAGCAGACAGATAATCATTTGTATGATAAGCTCTGCTGGATAAATTGACAGTAGAGCTAAATAAAATTGGCGATGCACATCTGAAGAAGCAACCTGACGGTTGAAATAGCTCTGCTGTCAAGCAAGAACATTGTGGTGGCCAAGTCGAGCAACATACACCCATTCTTCTTGAAAACTGCCAACTTAATACCAAGTATCAAAGCAATTGAGCTGGTGGTTTTCAAGGAGTTGTTGAAAATAGCATTGTTTATCAAAAATAGAGAATTGGAGATGTTGTCAAGAAATGAACAAATCAAAGAGAGGTTCACCCAAGGTACCAACATACCAAGTATTGAAATTGATTTTTCATGACTAAATTGGACACAATTCAGTCAATAACGAACTGATTAAAAAACAAACAATAACATACGCATATCAACTAATATAATCTTTCATTGTATCACTCAAGCATGTATGAGAAATGAATTTGCAAAACCATGTAACCAAGTCATGCAGTCCCTGTTAGTTATCAAATATAAAATATATAGTTTTATTTAAAATAATATGGTTGTAACATAAACATGATAGAGATATGGATCCAGGAACTGATTTTGTTAACATTACAATGATTGACATTCAGTAATCCTGTATCTGATCACCAAATGAGTTATTGTTTTAAAAACAAAATGGGCACCAGTCGTCCATTTTGAATACATCTGTTTTTTAATTTGCATAATAAATAGCATATGATTTACATAATTTATTCATGATGTCTGTACATTATTTTAATTTTTCATAAACTGCTTTATATACATTTGTACACTATATTACTTTTAGTTTTATAATTTAGAATGAAACACAAGTCATGGCTTAAATCAGTAAATAAGAAAATCAATATTATTTGTGTAAAAAAAGTGGCGCAATAAGTAATGGAGAATTCTTGGTTAATTGACAACAATAAGTGAACTGTATAAAATATCCCTGGCTGTAGTGTAAACTGATTGAAAAATACTTGTGGCAGCTTGTATGTTACCTCAATTAATATGGATCTACCCAGAATGCAGTATTGCAGTTGGTCGACATAGCGTTATGGTTAGAGTGCCCTCAATGGCAGACAGGCTAAAGTCTGTGAATAGGGTAGGCCAAAGGTCACCAGCCATGATGGAAAGCAAATTGAACTTTTTTGACGTCAAGTTTTTGTGGCCTTACGTAAAGCAAAATTTTTGTTACTGTAGAATACTTTATTTTCGCTTGGAATTTATTTTTGCTTTTTTCGCTGAAGGGATGATTCCGTGAGAATAAAATCCAGCAAATATACTTTTTTCCCTATATTTCACATTAAACTCATCAAAAAACAGTGAAAATACATTCCAAAAAACCCTTTTAGCAAAAATTAATTCCAGCAAAAATAAAGTATTCCACAGTATTTCATAGATGATTTAATCATTAGTACTTTCATAAAAAATTTGTTTTTAACATTGGAATCTGCATTTCTTCAAAGGATTTTTATTTTCAGTCGGACATCGGTCGTGATGCGATTGGTAAGGTAGCATAGAGACTGAATTTGTGATGTTTTACAGATTCCTATAAACCAGTTACAATGGAAAAGCACATTTTTTTTTCAATTTTCAATAATCTTTTCTTCAAACATTTTATTTTTGCTATCGGCCGTGGCATGAATTATGTAAATAAACCAAACCTTTCAAAGAGTACATGTCAACCCAAATAAACTTAACAGCCATTTGACTTCCGTTACATTGGTTATTGTTTATGGCTGTTTATGAACAGTGAGAACGCATCTCATAGAACAATAGCTGCGGAAATCGTAGACAAAGGTAAAGGTGCAAAAATAAAGCATGACGGTAATGATTTTGAGTGTGGCTGTGATAGATGTTTGTATCCTGCGGAGAATACTGTATGTCATGATGTATAATATATAAAATTTGAACATAACTACAAAATGGCCACCAGTAAGCCATTTTGAATCGATCTGAAAAACAAAATGACGTGCATCAAGGACCAATAATGTCTAATGTATGTACCAATTTTGAAGGAAAATATATATTATGATTCAACAAGTCATTGTCAATGACACATCCCCGTTCCGTTCATATTTGAGTGACATATACATTCAAAGCAGATCATGACCAAAATCCCAGACCACTTTCAGTGGTCTGATCCGAAATGCACCTGCATATGTACAACACATTGTATGATGTGTGTGAAGTGTGGTCTTGATCGGTTCAGGCATGCCTGAGATATGGATGCTGAACTGTATTCAGTTAAAACCCTATTTGGAAAACAAAACAACGTGATTCAAGGTACCATAATGTACAATGTATGCATGAAGTGTGAACTAAATTCACCCATGGTGAATATGTGCAATTTTGACGAATTTGTGACCTTAAAAGGACTGGCCCAAATGCACAGG